AAATAGCCATATTTGTTGCGCTCAGCAGCTATTCACTAAAGCTCTTCATTTGAAGTTTCATTTATAAATTTAACCACATCATATAAAAACATAAACAGTTGTTTGAGGATACAGAACACGTTTTGTGTTTAGACTTTTCCCCAATGTGTTTAAGGCTGCGATGCGCAGGACTGGGTTACAGAAAAAAAGGTATAACTTAGGCTAGATTCTGCTTTTACTCACCCAAATAATGCTCTGTTTGCGCGATTTGATTAATATCATCGCATCCAACTACTTTATAAATAATATTTCAAACCTTCTCCGGTGTTTATTGTTTTTAGAAATCATCTAAAATCTTTTTTTAGATAGGTCTTTGTAAAATGAAAGTTAGGCTATATGTGGCATTAAAACGGTTTGATTTATGTATTGTATATAAGCTACCTACATTGTTATTGCTAGCTTTTGTTTATTTTATATTGGTTTATTTATTTAATGCGATTTTATTATATCTGATATTTGTAATTCTTTAAATTATATTTCAATATAGCTTAGGCTATTTTATCGAGATATTACACTATATTGTATAAAGTCTACGAAAGTGGGCATGTAACTTGTTAAGTTTTATGTCTTTCTGTTGTATTTATATTGTGTATTATCTCCAAAATAAAGAAAGAAAAAAGCCGCTCGCGGCATCAACAGAGCTGTAAAGGGAGCGCTCTTGCCCGGTCTCACACACACATACAGGCATCTAAACGTGCAAAAACAAACATTTTAAACTTGACAAAAACTCTCAAAAAAACTTTACTGTCTGCTGTGTCTTTAATATGGTGTAAAGATTATTATGCGTTATTGAAACATAAAGGAGGACGCAGCAAAGAACGTCACTATAAATTAAAACTACTTTATTATTTTATGCAGCAGCCTTACATTTAAAAGGGAAACATAAGGGCGATCATACGCAAAAAAGACCCCAGACTATAAGGCTAGATATTTTCTTTCCCTTATTTCTTTATTTGTTTGGCGCATGTACTCATGTGCAATCAGAAAACTGCCCGCCTCTCCTTTCACTCCGCCCCCAAGCCCCAGCTGGCCCTCCTTGGCCCAGGGTATTCGGCAGGCCGAAAAAGGCTGGCCGCTGGCTCCAAGAAAGCCCCGCTTTGGCCCGATTAGGCCCCGGAAGTGACAGTGGAAACCCCACTGGCCTTGGCTCGCTCGCTTTAAGCGCGATAGTGGAAACGCGGCTAATGCTTCGTTAACTCTGCTGTGGGCGGTCTATACTTCACACGCTTGTTACACCACGCACACTGTAGAGGGCGCTGTCCCCATTTAGGATATTAATTTAACACACTTCTTTGCTCCGTTACACATGGCAATATACTATATGATATAATCTAATCAAAAGTGATGCATTAAAAAGGGACAGCTCATCCTAAATTGACAATTTTACCATAATTTACCCTCCCTTCACTTTTTTAAAACTGTTTTAAGTTTCTTTCTTCTGTTGAACACAAAAGAAGATATTTTGAAAAAATTCTGGTCGCTTGCACCCATTGACTTCCGTTGTAACTGTTTTAAAGAGGTGGTCCACAGTGTATTTTTAAGGCTCTGTTGTGTTTATAAGCTGCAAAGCAATGTGTGCCCATGCTTCACTTGTAGAAAATTATTCCATATATCTTACTTTGATTATATACAGCTACTCAGCTAACATGAAAATTCAATTCAGCTTTATTTGTATAGCGCTTTTACAATGCAGATTGTGTCAAAGCAGCTTCACATAAATGGTCATAGTAACTGGATCAGGGTAGTTCAGTTTTTAGTGTTTAAGTTCAGTTTAGTTTAGCTCAGTTCAGTGTGGTTTGAAATCATTACTGAGAGTCCAAATACTGAAGAGCAAATTCATCGATAAGTAGCTTTTCAAATCCTGAACCATGCAAGCCAGTGGGGACAGCGTAAAGGGAAAAAAACTTCACCGATAGGAGAGTGAAGAGAAAAACCTTGAGAGAAATATGACTGTCATATTTCCTAGTTCCTCTGAAAGGCTCGTCCTCAAGAGGCTCTGATTGGTCAGCTAACATAACGTGCTGTGATTAACGGATTGGCTCACGTCACCACGCCAGGCCCCTACAAGCATGCGCTTTTATGCCATGTAAACAGTCCAGTCAGAGCAGCTGTTAGCAGCATTAGCTAAATTATACAATACAAGTTGTAGCTAAATGGTTAACAGTGCCAAATAGCATTTTTCTTTTCCTACAGCACACCTCTATCGCCAGACACTGTGCCTGTAATTGATCAATTTTAACAAATAATAGGTCCAATACTTACATGTTGTGAATCACAATCCACAACTTCGTCGGTTGGAGGAGTTTTTAGCCGAATCCAGCACTGAACTGGAAGAGATTCTGGAAGTTCTCCTTTGTCAAATAGGAGCTATAATTTTTTTATAATTCTCTGCAACATAATTAAAATTAAACTGCAAGCACTTCTCTCTTTGTGTCGAGTCCTTTGGAAGCTCAAATACTGAAACAAAAAAGCTCTGTGGAACAGCAGCGTTTGGACAGCATTTTAGCTTTCTCTGCTATAACAGCGCCTCTGGCCACGCCCCATTGCTGCGTGGGGTGTATGCGCGTGGTAAATCCGTATAACCAGAAGCCGTTGTGATCTCACTAACCAGGATGGATTTTTTTTTTGTAGTCCCCAAGTTCGTTTACTGTAGGCTAACTGTAAAAGTCAATGTCTCCCTTTGCATTGAACTTTGAGCGTCTTACATTCAGAGATGTTGCTTATGTTTACACAGCTACATTACACATCAATTTAAAGCGTGATATAGTTGCAGACCACCCCTTTAATACTACGGAAGTCAATGTGTGCCAGCAACCAATATTCTTCAAAATATTTTCTTTTGTGTTCAGCAGAAGAAAGAAACTCATGAAGGTTCAAACCTTGTGAGGGATAGTAAATGATAAGGCGATGTTAATGTTAGGGGGAAAAAAATTCTAAACCAAAAACTCCAAAACCAGGCATCAGCTAACCTTTCTAAGGGCCGTAATGCAGAGAAGTATTCAAGAGACCAGGTTACAATAAAACAAGTGTTAATTGAGTTTATTGGATAATCTTCCATGCGACATACCAGTTCAACATCTGTTAATATAACAACGTTTAAGATGCAAAAAATAATGCTTGACACAATGTTTGATTACAGTTGCAATGCAAATCCTTAGTTTGTGCATGAATTATGTAAGGAATAATTGGCTGTTATACACCTAGGGTGTGCACTGTATTAGAACAATTCAATGGACTGGAGTCAGATATTCTGCTTACACTACAGTCATCACAGCTAAACATACTGTTCACTGTATTTCAGCCTTTTCTTAGGTTTCTGTCCTTAAACTGATCCTGTGTGTAGCACTAGATTCTAGATGCACATCTCATCCAAAACTTTCTATTGTGTGAAATATCTAAAATCATTCGATGTAGCGATATGAAGCTGAAAACCTGCCGGAACTACTTTATCTGTGCGTTTTTTTAAAACTAACTGCACGCCTCGGAGGGCTATTGACACAGAATGCATTTTTTCTCTCCAATATTTTCCAATATAATACTTTTCTATTGTTTTTCAATGTAAAAACTTGCTTGACCAACATGTTTGACTGTCACTCTTGTGTCTTGCATCTAGATACCGCATCATGTTGAAGGATTGCTGTTCATCACTGTCATTTCCAAAGCAGTGGACCAATCAGAACAGCTCAGAGGTGGAGCCACTGTTACAAGCCTCTGTTTATAGTAGAAGGTTGGCACGACAATGGTTTAATCTTCTGTTATATAATGGCATGCTCATTGTGGATTTGTCCAGATATGATGATGATGATGATGATGATAAAAAGCCCTTATTTGTCACATTCACTTTTACATTGGACCCCTCCGAGCATACACAAACGTCAAGGGGAAGACAGGCCAATGAAAGGTATCTTTAAAAAGAGGAAATAAGATACAATAGGGAAAGGGAAGACACAAAAAGCCCTTCTCAGACTGTCCTTGAAGTAGGGCAGTGTGAGATCAGGAGGAAAAAAGCCTCAGCAACAAGCACATAAACACATAGACAAAACATTGCAACAAGGTATGGGAACAGGGGATAGTCTGATCTAGGCGGCAGCCATCTGGTCTTGGGGGCGGAGGTTCTCCGGGGGAAGGTTGTTTGTCTCCAGCCAAGGCCAATTGGCAGGAGTGTCGCAGGGAGGCCAAAAGGGAAAAAAGAAAAAAGTTGCAAATTTGGGTCAATATCTGCCAATTTCCCAGAAATCTATTGTCTGTCACGAGTATCCAGGTCTGTCCAAAATCTTGTTGCAAAGCATCTAGTTTCTTTGCAATGTTTTTCAATTTGCGGTCCATAAACACAGTCTGAGCACAACCGCTTCAATCTAGCTGGCTTGCTTGGTGGGGTTTTAAGCCACACTGACCGCTTTCATCAATACCCCAGGGCCATGCCTACTCAGCAGAAACCCTGTTATCAAAGTTCTGAATAGATCAATATCATCAATATCCTCTAGGGACAGAGCAGACAGGCACACGACGCACTACTTCTCCCACCCGTTAATCATGTATCCAGTAGCAAACGTCCCCGCAGGACAGGTGGGTTCCCCTGAACCCAGACTTCTTTTCGAGAAGATGGTGTCAATTCCGTTCAGAGACCAGTTAATCAAATTCACAATTCCTTATTGTTTGGAGAGCAGGGCAAAGAGAGCCTCAGAGATAGAATAAGACGAGACAAGAGGAGTCAGCCAGGGGAGATACAGGAGAAGGAGGAAAGAAATGTAACCGCCTTTGCCGAGAGCCAAAGAAGAAGATCCTGAGTTATATGATGTTAAGAACATATTCTGTTCCTATTTCCAATAGGTCTGTTATTGTCGTTATTACATCACGTTCATAACATCGCATCACATCAATGAGCCCTTAGAATGGTCATCAGCCAATCAGAGTCAAGCAAGCAAACCCATAGATTAAATCTGAAAAGAATTGATCCCTGCACAGATATGAATGAATTCAACTTTACGAAGTGTTCCAACTCAAGCAGCACAGCAGGGATTTAGTAACTCCAGGATTAGTGGGTCGAATCCCAAAGTGTTTAAAAAGCGACGGCAGTCTTGTTTCTGAGCAATCTGCTGTCGAATATAAATGTTTCTGTTAGTGGGGTTCATTTGGTTTTCAACGAGGAAGTGAAAAACATTAATGCACTCTTGGTACATTTCTTCATCTCTACGATTGGGTTTGCTCAGTTGGTCTTCCAGCATTTTATTCGGCATTACGCTCAGTTTTCGCCCAAACCGAACACTCTTATAATGACCGCGGTTGACAGCTTGCGCAATAGCTTTTATCTTCCTATTAATGCATCTACAAAATCGAATGGTTTTAAATGACATGGTCTTTTTGAATGCCAGCGTACAGTTCAGGTCACTTCTTGTCCCGGCGCTTTTCAAAGCGTACACAGTTTCACACCACAGATTTTTGTCTACTTCTTTGGTCTTGATTGCAGTGACTTTAAACTTCTCATACGGAGGAATCAGCACTTCTTTCTGGTCAGGATACTTCGAATATTTGACCACATTAGCGCCGTTGCAAGTTTTGATCCTAAAGCAAGATTTATTTCCAAAACCTTGCGCTACTTTACGATCGAGAGACGAGGACGTAAAAGAGCCGAAGCGAATCACTTTCCCTGTAACATTTCGATAAAACGACACGTTAGTTCCACGGAAAGTTGTCTTGCATTTTTTTTGTGATTCGCTCAATATCTGTATCGCGTCCGTTAGCAAAAAGTGAAGTGAGTACCATGTGAACGTCTGGTCTGTGTAGTTTTGTTTACCATTGCGCGACGCCATATTGAAACTGCTATATACACTAGAATCGAGGTTAGTGTAGACGTAAATGGCAATCGAATGATTCCTTTTCAGGTTGTCTTGTGGTGCTGTCGAATTCTCCTCACCTTCCTCCCAAGCCTTGTTAAATGCGTTTGAGTTCTTGAGTTCCTTCTCAAGATATTTGGTCTTCACCAGATTCGCCATTTTGATCGTACATCCATCATACTGATCATCAACTGAATTCACTGCCATATCCAGGGGATATATGTTTTGTACTGCAGCCGCTGTGTGATCCTGCAGCAACAGGAATCATAATGATCAGATCATCAGTGTTGATGTGTGTAATAATATTGATACACAGAATACAAGCTCACCTGTAGAGCAGCTACAACGAGGAGAAGAGCTTCAATCATCATCTTCATTCAGTCCGATCCTTTACAAGGCCTAGAGAAAATGATAAAATGATCAACCAGGTGTTATAAATATAATACATGTGAATATGACAATATATAAATATACAATTATAAAACAGTTATGATAAATATAATAATTAACATTGATGTCAATATTTGCATTGATATTAAAATTTAGATTTAATTAGGCATTAAAAACAAAGTGCACTTCTTTTTTTCTTGTCTATAATAAAAAGGCAGTGCACCTTGTGTTCTCAGTAGGGGTGTAACGATACACTCAGCTCACGACACGATGCGTATCACGATATAATGTTCATGATTCGGTATGTATCACGATATTTGGAATAAAAATTGAAAATTAAACTGAAATGCAAATTTTACAAAGTAAACTATTTTTTATGTATTTCTTTTGTTTTAACTTGTTAAACTGAACCTTCTTTAAGAAAATAAATTAAACAGGCCTGTCTCTGGAAAATAAAACAATTTAAAAACTTCTTAAAAATATTATTGAAATGACAGAGACAAAATTAAGGAACAATTTAAGTAAAGGTGCAAAAAAATAAGCTTTCTATTCAACTGAATGTAACAGTAAGAGCTTAAGGCTTTACTTGGTCACTTTCGTTTTTTTGTGTGTGCAAATAAAAAATCCAAATTTCCAGGTATTTAATTCTTATTTAATTAAATTCATTTAGAGATATCTCTAATTACAATTGTGACTAGTCAAAACTCATTTAGAGATATCTGCAAATATTTTTCAATAGAAGTCAATGGAGGAATATGAGTAGTCATAATATATTTGCAGATATCTAGAATCTGATTATGTACTAGTACAATTGTAATTGCAGATATCTCTAATTGTCATTCTGACTAGTCAAAATATAATTAGAGATATCTCTAAATATATTTATGGATAGTCAGAACAAAGGTTTACATGCTAAAACGGCTTGCCATACCTGCGTGTCTATCATAGTCCGCCCTCTGTAGTAACAGCTCACGGTCAGCTCACGTCATGTGTGATTTTGCGGCGGGAACATTATATGAAGACAGAATGATATTTTAGGGTGAATTGTACCTTATAAATACAGTATGTGACTCTTTCAACACCATTAGGAGGTTTCCCTGTCGCTGTGCAAAGTATTTAAATCATTGTGAAGACTTTAAAACTTAGGCTATGTTTGTCTCAGTATGCGTGTCAAAAAGCGGACGAGTCTAAAGCAATGACTGTACAACCGAAATGTTGCCAGACGTCTGATTTTGAGAAGATGGGCTATCCTCTATTTCAGCTCCACTCATCTTGGTCTGCTAACATTACTGCTGCTGCAATCTGAACTCACGTGCGACAGCAGGTGGAACGTAGCTTACGTGCAAACAGCTCAACTAATAAGAGAAAACGGACGTCATATCGTAATCAAATCGTAATAACACCACGATGCATATTGTGACATTTTTGCATCGCAATAAATCGTACAAGGATAAATCGTTACACCCCTAGTTCTCAGAATGGAAAAGCACATTAGGTCTGATTGGGTTCTTAAAATTATTGCACACTGAATCCCAAGTTTTTTTATTTCATAATTTTTGCACGTAAAAGAATAAATTCCACCTCAGGTTGTGTGAACTGTATTGACACACTGCATCCAAAACTTTGGTCCGTCATAAAACAAAAACTTTAAACTAGGTCTGATTTTTTTCATCGATTCCTCAACACGACCGCCATCTATTATAATGTCTATAGCAGGGGTGCTCAATCCTGTTCCTGGAGATCTACCTTCCTGCAGATTTCAGTTGCAACTCATATCAAACACACCTGAACCAATTAATTAGGACCTGAACACCACTTGATAATTACAGGCAGGTGTGTTTGATATAGGTAGCAACTGAAATCTGCAGGAAGGTAGATCTCCAGGAACAGGATTGAGCATCCCTGGTCTATAGGTACTGCAAGTCTCTATTCAGGATTTGTTCATTTACGTAATGTAAATGTTTGAAGTATCAAAAGCAATCTTTCAAAACTTCACTGCAGATCTTCCTCCCTATTCAGTATTGGATGAACACAATGTCGCATATTCCTCTTTCCTTTTCTACTTTGGCGAAGAGAGGAAAACAAAGTTTCACTGCTTGAATTGACTCCGAAATGTTTTGCTTTTTTTTAATGGATTAATTAATACGCATTGACTCAGTGTGCAAGGTTTTTGTGTACGAGATGAATTTTTCGCATATGAATGCGAAAAAAGCACATATGAAAATTTCAGACTTCAGCGTGCAAAGACCTTTAAGTTACCATCTATAAAGATAAGCTAGTGAGAGGCTAGATAGCTAAACCTTATAGTAAAATAACAAATTACTGAGGAAGATTTTGTTATTAACTTATATTAGTTACAGGCAACTTATGCAAATTAGAACATCATATGTTACCCAAGAGCACAAAACCAGTCTTGAACTGCAAAGGATTCTTTTTGCCAATAGCCAAAAATACATAGTATGGCTCGAAGTAATAGATTTGTTTTTTATTTCAAAAACTATTTGACTATTTCCTAAAGATCATGTTCCATGAAGACATTTAGTCTATTTTCTAGAGTAAATGCATCAAAACTTGATTAGTTATGTGCACTGATAAGCATTTTATTTAGACTTTAAATGCGTGTATTTGATTTTTTGAACCCATAGATTACAGATTTTATGCAGAGTTGTTGCCAAATATTGTCCTGTCATTACAAACATACATCAATCATCTCACAGGTGATGCATAAATCTCTGTTTCAAAAGAATGACAATTATGACTATAGTTTGGTTATGGAATAATGGACTTTGATCATGGTTTTGTGGTCCAGAATCACAAACACTGAATTACACAATGCCAAGGTCTCTGATTAGAGGTTTGGTAAGGTGATATATTTACGCTTTCTCTTCAATGATGCAGTGGAAGGAAAGAGATGGATCTTTCTGGAGATTCAGAAATCCTTGAAGGTTTAGACGTCCTGTAGCCTTGTGAGACTCTTCAACAGTCTTGAATATCCAAACTTATTCATCATCACAAAGGTCCTTTCTGAAACACAGAAATCTGAATCCTTTGAGGTGAGAGTTCTGAAGTCTTGAGCAATCCGGACAATCTGAAAAAAGTCGAAGCAGTTAGCAAAAAAAAAAAAAAAAAGCTGAAGTTCACTAGGATAGTTACTGTCTAAAACTTCCCCAATTCACTTTGCAGATGTTTAGGAATCTAATCCTGTCTCTGTAACTTACGAAATGTGCTTTTTTAGAGCAGCCAACCTTTTCTGTCTAAGCAAGAATGTTTTTATCCTTTGTCTGAGAGGCTGGATTTGCAAAGATGGTGCCTTTCAAATCCAGCATTGTGATTGGAGGACACTGGGAGGGGTGGAAATTGGATGACCACCACAAGTGTGAATGACATTTGCATAGTCCCAGTCAGGGGCGCTGCTTGGGGAAGGGAATGTTTGGATGATTCTAAAGGCTCACGCAATTTGGGCGCCCCCAGAGATATTATTAGGGGCCCACGCCCTATACCCCGCCCTTACTTTCGTCCATGAAAAGTTTACAGAGGGCCTGTGTCAGCCAGTGGCACCCCTGGTCCGAGTCCACGGTGAGAATTGTGTCTTAAATAAATTCCTACACTGTAAAAAACACTGTAATAAAAGTGTTTTTGTTTTTTCATGTTTTTCAGTAAGGAATTAAAATAACATTAGTTTTTACAAATTTAAATTGATTAAACATGAAACAATTAAGTTTTTGCAAAAAATAAATAAATAATAACTCAAGCATTGTGTTGTTTTAGTTCATTTTAAATAAGTAGTTTGATCTTTTAAATGTATACTTTCAAATTCCAAACCAAGTTCAGAACAACATGGGCAAACATGAAGACCAAACCTGACTATGTAATGTTGATCTTTACCTACGCATTCATAAACACACAGTACATTAATAAGCAAGGTTATCTTGGACAATGTTTATGTATGTATGGATGATGTTTTTTTTTAATTGGAACAATATGTAATCCTTTGATTTGAATCCATGTGAGACACATGACAAAAAACTGTTTAGTGAAACCGATGGTTCACCTGATTGGGACAAAATGGGCCTAAATCTGACTAGATTAGTCTTTTATGTTGATAGTGTTCTTTCCCTGTGTCTGTTCAGGCATGAAAACCAGTTCTGCAAGTTGTGGTCAGTGATCTTTCACACCTTGGTTTTCAGAGGCCCTGTTTACACCTTGTATTAAGATTCACTTTTGATCACAAGTGCACTCTAAAAAAAAATTCCGTAAAAAAACGGGAAAATGTACTGCATGGCAGCTCATTACACAAATATTTTACCGTAAATAAAAACGGAAAACTTCTGTTAATTGACAGTGTGTCCCCATTAAAAAAACAAAACAATCTCAGTTTTTTGACGGTTAAACTGTTGTAAAATATCGAAACATTTTATAATAATTTAAGGGTTTTCTATATTAAAAAACGGTTATTTTCTTTTGTTAAGGGCATAATAACAGTAAAAAAGTGGAAATATTCTGTGTTTTTAATAGTATACCTACAGTAAAAAAACAGACAGATTCTGTGTTTTAATGGGATACCTACTGTAAAAAAGAGGACCTTTTTCTGTGTTTTAATAGTATATATACAGTAAAAAAAATTTATAGATTCTGTGTTTTAATGGTATACCAACAGTAAAAAAAAAAAAAGTGGAAATGTTCTGGGTTTTAATGGGATACCTACTGTAAAATGAAAGAGGATTTTTTGGTGTTTTAATGGGATACCTACTGTAAAAAAATTATTTTACTAATTTAATGCTCTTCAAGCAGCATGTAAATGGCAAATGGTAAGGATACACATATATACATATGGGACACGTTACCAGTCACATCTGGCATTTAAAAGTTTCTCTACATTCTCAGAAATAAATAGGTATACTTTTGTGTCTTACAGGGACACATATAAACCTTAAAGGTATATATTAATATCTAAAAAGTACAAATGTGTACCTCATAGTGCCTTAAAGATCCAAAAATCTGCCCTGAAGGAACAAAATTGCACAATACCTGACAAAAGTCTTGTCGCCTATCTAAGTTTTAGGGACAACAAATAATGTCTTGCTTTCTAGTTGATCATTTGGAATCAGAAATGGCTTAAATGAAAGACAAAGGCCTTTACTCATCTGGAATGGCAAAGAAAGCGTTCTTGCAGTACTCCCAGAGTTCATCAAGATTCTTTGGATTCATCTTCAACCACTCCTTCATCTTACCCCAGACAAGCTCAATAATGTTCACTTTGACTGGGCTGGCCAATCCTGGGGTACCTTGATCTTCTTTGCTTTCAGGAGCTTTGATGTGGAGCCTGAAGTATGAGAAGGAGCGCTATCCTGCTGAAGAATTTACCTTCTCCTGTGGTTTGTAATGTAATGGGCAGCACAAATGTCTTGATACCTCAGGCTGTTGATGTTGCCATCCACTCTGCAGATCTCTCGCACGCCCCCATACTGAATGTAACCCCAAACCATGATTTTTCCTTTACCAAACTTGACTGATTTCTGTGAGAATCCATGCGGGTTCTAGTAGGACTTCTGCAGTATTTGTTATGATTGTGATGCAGTTCAACAGATGATTCTTCAGAAAAATCTACCTTCTGACACTTTTCCAAATGATCAACTAGAAGTCAAGTTTTAACTTGTTGCTCTTACAACTGGGATCGATTACAAGACCTTTGTCAGGTAGTGTACGTTTATGGTACCAATGTGCAAATTTAAGGTACAAAATTATACCTTTTGAAAAGGTACCACTCCAGTGACAAGCTTTATACCTTTATTTCTAAGAGAGAAATCGCATAAAGAGATTAGTTGGTTTACCTAAAATAGTGAGTAAACCTGCTGCCTTAAAGCCTCGTTTCAGCAGGGTGTTGTCACACCTCTACTTTGGAAAAAGTCAGAAAAGTGGGCGTGTCCAGCTCTGTTTAGGGGGGAGTGTCTGAGGGAGAAAAGAGGCTTGGTGTGGGAGTGTCTATCTGGGCGCGCTGAATTTCAGAGTCAAAACACATACCCACAGCGGACAATGTGACTGTGTTTACATGGACATCTGTAGTCCAATTATTTGCCAAATTATTAAATGGTGGACTTTAACTGCAGTTTGGCTCTTTTATTCAGGGAATTCATTAATGTCCCTCCCGACAAACGTGATATTTGATTCGAGGCGCTGCTCTAAGCGTGTGTTTTTCATGCAAAGTTTGATACCGCACGGCGAATGAGAGAAAAAAAAACTCAGCATTTCCTGGAAACTTAGATGCACACGGCAGGTAGCGTCAGAAAGCCGCGTGTGTTATTCCGGTCACAAAATCCAACACGAGGTTATAGTTTGGTTGTAACTGTTAGTGCTAACTATTGCACTCGGTGCAATAGTTTGTTTGATACTAATAAAATACGAACTGAATAATCAAAGAGCACTGGTCGCTCACTTACCAAATCTGTAGAGACAGGACAATCACCAGCAACTAGAGCCACGTCTTTATTTAGAGGAGACTACAATCTGGATTTCAGCGTTTGCAGATGAGAACAGCTCTCAGGTAAACAATAATCCCCCTTAGACACGTAAGTTATTGTTGTCGCGCGTCGCGTACACTGTTAATCCACGCGTGAGTCTGAGCTCTCACAGAGAGAAAATGAAAACGAAACTTAACTGCAGCAAACTATAAAAGCAACACTTCACGCTTGTTTTGCCAACACAACGTGGCGTCTCTGCCGTCTACACTCTGACAGTAATGAATATTAATGAAGTTGCACAATAGAGCGCGCTGATTGGTTTAAACCAAGCCTTACTCATGCATTAATGCAACACACTGTAAGACGTAATAAGACACACTCTGGCACAGACGCCCAGTCTGCACGCTGGAATACACGCTATTATGTCATGACCGTGACGCAGCTTCAAAAATTAGTTTCAAACAGGAAGTACGAATTTGCTTGAAATAACGCAAAAACAACCAATTTACACTTTTTAGTGAAATATAGGTGTCCTAATAGTGTTTTTAGCAGTGTAGGACACATATACGACTGTCAACAGCTCAAAACATGTGTTCTGGTGTTTCATGACCCTTTAAAAGCAACAGGGTAACTTTACATAAAAATACGTGCGTTAACACATTGGTACTTAGAGCTGTAATGTTAACTTATTTTTGTATAATTATGCACATACTTAATTCACTGCATTTTAAGGCAACAAGTTCACTCACTATTTTACTCAAGTCAACTAAGGTTTTTTTACAGTGTACTTTCAGCTACTTTCTGATGATTGTCTGATGTTGAAACATAATATTGCAAAAAAAGATGCAATATACATAATTAAAAATAATTCAAATAATTTCATACAAAAAAAAATATATTAGAATATACCAGATCAGTTAAATGTATTCGAATACCTCTGGAAGTGGTAGAAAGTGGAAAAGCTCAAAATGCTTCCCCCCATTGACATCTGCGCTGTCGACTTGCGATTGGATCAACGAAAATGCATCTCAATTTCAGGTGTGAACAGGCCTGAGAACAAAGGACAGATGAGGTGGGAGTAAGTCACACCTGTGTAAGTCACAAGCAAGTCTCGAGTCATAACCTTCAAGTCTCAAGCAAGTCAAGTCGATTTTTGTCAGACTCAAGTCAAGTCAAGTCGAGTCACTGCTTATCTCGTCAAGTCAAGTCATACAGATGATGGTCTAGCAAGTTACTTTCAAGTCAAGTCGATTTTTGTCAGACTCAAGTCAAGTCAAGTCACACAGTAGCTTGGTCTAGCAAGTCACTTTCAAGTCAATCAAATTTTGGTCGATTTTTTTAACTTTTGCAATTTCTTTTGCAATTTATATTTACATATATATCTTTCGATGTTGTATGCAATGCATGATATATAACAAACAGGTGTTTATTTAACAAAAACAAGTTATTTTGAGTCATTTCACTCAAGTCCAAGTCAAGTCTCAAGTCATGACAGTCAAGTCAAGTCTTTTTTGGATATTTGTCAAGCAAGTCTCAAGTACTAAATTTTGCGACTTAAGTCTGACTTGAGTCAAGTCATGTGACTCGAGTCCCCTATCTCTGGTTCACACTGTGATCATAGGGACTGAGGTCTTCTTTTGTGTTACCAGACTGAAAAATTGATTGATTGGATTTACTACATTTTTAGGGTAAGTGGTTGCAAACAATTGATATGGGCTGACTTTAAACAAACACATTAATTTGAACATTGCTACATTTAGTTTGTTTAAAGAGCCCATATTATGGGTTTTTGAAAATTCCCCTCCATGTAGTGTGTAACACAGCTCTAAGTGAAGTGAAGTATCCAGCTAAGGCTTAAATCTGTAAGAATACAGTGTTTAAAACGGTTGATTCATCTATAAAAGAGTCGACTCATAGTGCTTCAAACGAGTCGCCTTGATACCGATTCATTAGGTGTTTCGCCATGACGTACGAACGAAACCAAGTTATTCACGTGCACGCGCAAACCCGGGAGATTTCAAACCTGAGGCCCCGCCCTCTGACACAGAAACCCAGACACACACACACACCCACAAACACACGCAC